CTCTGTTTTGCACTAGTATTGGTTTAGAGTTTTTAAGGATGGAGATGCTACTCTCTTTCTTTTGGGGTTTGCCTCTTTTCTTGTTATAAGGTGTGCCTTGTTCTGTTTTCTCTTTTAATGTGTAACACTGCTTTTCCAACTTTCTGTTTTTTCTTTAATTTTTCAGTACCTATAAGCTTCAAGAATGCAAAATGTTAATCCACTTTGCCCTGGTTGGCTTTCCCTGCATTAGGATAATAATCCCAATTTTAAAAAATTTTATCTGATGTAAGTAGAATGGTTAATTAATTCTTCTTAGTCATTAAGGAAAACTTTATTCCTACTTTATATACAGTCTAGTCTAGAATGACTCAGCAGTTTCACAACAGGGATGAGCTTATCCAGGAGGAGCTTGCTTCAATCAAAAAACAGGGTATGGGGAAGCAGGGGACTTTGACAGAGGCATAAATTCTTAAATGCAATTCTGAAGACTCAAGGCAAGGAAAGAATAATATAGGAACAGCATACAATTTGGTAATTGCAAAACCGTGCTTTGAGTGAATCTGCTTTTAGGACATGGACCCATTTTTGCTTCTTTTCAAAGCATGATCAGAAGTATAATTGGGTTCTGTTTTGGGTGGGAGATAGAATATGAATGGATGCTTCTGCTTATCTTTAACAAATTCCTTTTATAATGTCTATCTTGAATCTCTTTGTGGCTCCACTAGAAATGAAATACGATTAATTTCTTAATCGAAAAGGATTGCCCCCAAATCTTTTTATGCTTGATCTTCAACCTCAGTAATCAGTGATTCTAGCACTAATATGAAAAGTCTGGCAGCAAAAGGAAGATGATCACTTGAGTAAAAAAGAAACTCCTTTTCCCATTCCTTTTCCTCATTCCTTACCCCATGTTATAGAAAGAGAAAGCAAGGAATTTAAACTTAGAATAAAGAAGGGGACACAGGGAGAGTACAAGTAAATTGAACTTTATTAGGTAAATAAATACAATGTAATAGTAGAACAAATATGCAAGTATTTCTGATACAATATAAATGACCGTAATGCATCAAGAATGATAAATTTTCATCTTTTTCTTCTTTTCTTTTTTTTTAAGAAAAAACCTTTCTCATTTCTCTTGGTAGCTATAAGGAAATCCGAATTAATCAGTACAAGAAATTCTAATCTACCGCAGGGGCAGGCAAGGGCAAATTTCTTAAGAAGTACCTAAACAATACTGTGGCACGTCGAGGCTGAGTGAGAGGAACCTCATGCCCTGCCCCCCTCACTGTCACATAGGTGAGACCCTTGTATGTTTGGCTCCAACCACCAACCTGATAACCCAAACACACTTCATTAGTAAACTTATTCATTGTGAGAGCAGCACAATATTACATAAGTTTTTTGCATAAATTTATATGACCATATATTCATACATGCCAAACCAAAGATAAAAGGCTTTATAAATAAAATTTTGAATTTAGAGTAATAATTGGCTTACCTCTCCTTGATCATCCGTCCAGGCATACCAATCACTTAAAGTCTTGAGCTTTAGTGCATTGATGGAATACCGGGTTGCAGTTAGGGGCAAAATGGCATCTGTATCGCCACTGTTGTAACATATCAAAAAAACATCTCAAATTAGCTTTAGTATTTGATTACTGAAGTTTTTTTACAGGAATTAATAGCTACAACCAAACTACAGTGTAGAGCAGTTACCTGTATACCCAGATTCTAATCCCGGCTGCTATAAGTTCTTTGAATATGGGAAGCATGGATTTTGGAGAATCAGACCAATTTCCCCTGATAGCAGAACTGCAAATAAGGTAGAAATTGCATATGTTAGCCTTCAATGCAGAGTAATCTCGCTTTCCCCCAGTTTCCAAAATCCAAATTAGTGGGCAAAAGAACAATGGAAATCAAACCTGCAACCTGCCCAACGATAAGGAATTTTTTTAGTAACATTGGCATGAAGAGCCTTCTGTACTCTAGGGTCGTTCATGTACTTCTTCGTGTAGAATATGAGGCATTCATCATTCCCTCTAAACGTCCATGGCTGCAGACAACAATCAAGGTAATTTGAAACAAAACTATATCAAAATCCACAACTTTATGTCTCAAATCTCAAAAAAATGAAGAATCAAGCAAAATACCATGCAAAAGAAGTTTAATTTCTAAGCATGATTGCACGTGTCATAATTTAATATTCTTAAGAGGTGACCCACGGGAGAAGGCAGCAAAAGTGCAAGAACACTTTACGTTTCTAGGAATTTGATGCAAAAGCCATTTTAATTAAGAAATGCATAGGGATTACCAATGGCTGCCTCAAATTCTGCCTCAGAGTAGTAATGCCGGGGCAAGGTTTGCCATAAATGTTGTAGGGATCAATATCTCCGAATTCATTAAAAGCCTGATTCAGGGCAGCATTGCATTCACCTCTAGGGAACAAGAAACTTTGATGTGGACATGACTTTTTGAGTTCTTGGTATGTGGAATCCGAAATCAACCCATGGTTCCACCAGTACTCATATGTTCCAATGTTATCATGGTAATTATCAATAAGAGGATTGCCCAACTGCTCCAAAACATCATTAAACAAAAGCAAAAAAAAAAAAAAAAAAAGAAAACCCATAATCAAAGTACCCATCTTTCTTCACATTTTAGAAATGAAATTAAGATTAAGGGTTTCCCAATTAACTAACCAAAAACCCTTTGAA